AACAAAGAGTGAAAAATTTAAGGGGGTCTGAATACTTTCCGTACCCACTGTATATATTAAAGTAATTAATATAATAAACAATATAATAAATAGAATATAAAATATAAAATGTGTGTATAAAATCATACACAAAAATAAATAAACACAAACACATTTTTATTTATTTAATTAGATTTTTTAAACAGGACAGATATTCATAGCTATTTATTATATGCATGTAATCATTTATTGTACTAAATAATAACTTATTAAAACAAATGTTATTCTTGCATTTGATATATTAAATACAATAACAAAATGGTTTTATTTAATATAATAAACTATTATGTCTGGTTGTGTGTGTGTATACATATACACACATAATAGTTTAATATATTAACTAAAGCTAGTTTTTTTTTATCTTTAAGTGGTTTATCTTTGATTTATGGTTAGACTGTAGTAATAATTAACTTCATATATCATCAAGAGACGTTTCAGGTATGTCCCTGTGTATGTAAATCAGTGGTTCATATCAGATAGACCTAAGGATAAACTCAATTAAGATGGGAAGACCACTTTATGTAAAATAAAATGAACCAAAAAATTGTGCACCCAGCTAACTTTGATGCATACAGCAGCTTATTTTCATTTATCATATACATGAGTATTAGTATGTTTAAAACTTTGTTGAATAAAGTTCAACTCATTGCTATGCAGTATTTGCTAATGAGGACAGCTAGTTTTAGAGTGAGGACTGGGGTGGCTGAAGTTCACTGGCACTGTGGGACCATGCACATGCAGGCCAGGAGCAGCTCTGCTTTTTTCTCTGATTTTCATGAGATTTCTGTAAATCGCCATGAGCGTGGCATGTTAGCATATCCCACTGTGAGATTTACTGGTGAATCAGCACAAATCAAACATATACTGTATGCTGTGCACGTCTGTCATGGACCGTTTAATAATTGTTGGTTTTGTTTGTAGCTGACTTGTAACAGGAAAGCTGTGCCTCATTTCAGATAATTAGATGTAATTTGCATCAGCATCAACTCATCAAAGGCAAGGATAAATTATTCTGGTAATTATAAAAAGATCACAGATTGATTCATATCAGTGCTGTAGGGTCACGTGAGGTGTCTGAGGAGGAAACGCTGGTAAAATCGCTTAAATGGCCTCATTGTTTAGTGATTTAACCAGTCAGTCTGGTTAAAACTTATTGTTTATTTGTTCTGGCAGTTGCTAAAACGGAAATCAGTGTCTCTTTTTTGATACTTACAGTGTTTCGAATCCAGGAATGATGTACCTCAAAGTTGCATCCATACGCCATCTGCTGGTAAACATGAGAATTGTTTTTGAATATCTTACAGTGTTCGCTTTAGAACGTGTCACGAGCAAAACAATATTTTTTTTGTAATCATTTCATGGAGATTCAACCTTTTCAGACATTTTTTTTCTAGTTTTGACAGTATTTTTTTTTTAATCTTTTTTTTTTCTTTCAGTTTTATGAATTAAATACGAGACTATATGGAATAGCCTATATAGGCCTATACTTTAAAAAAAATGCCCATCGCAAAAGCAAAAGAGTGAAAAGTTGAGTGTAAAACTAAAGTTGAGTAGTCAGAAACGTTTAAATTGTTACGCTGTCAAATTTGATTTGCAAAATAAAAAGACATTTTTAGGATTCTGGATTTGGTTTTGAGCTTTGGAAGAAGCCATTACAACAACAAAAAGTGCTTCCTTATGATTTCATGAAGATTTCAGAATTCTTTTTCCAATTTCTACAGTATATTTTTTTTGCAGTTTTATGAATTACATATGAAGGCTATGGAATAGCCCATTTATAATTTAAAAAATAAATGTTCACATCAAGTATTTAAAATGAATGAGTGCAGAAAAAGATGGAAAAAAAATGTAGTGACCATGTGAAACCACCAATTGTAAAAAATAAATAAATAAATATATATATATATATACATGTCAATTTGAACCTAAAATATGGATGGTGATTAAAATAAGTTCAAAGACATATATGCCAAATGAACTCTGCATATAGATATGTAAATATTTTTAAATGAGCTTTAATATCAATTATATTATTTTACAGGACTTTAATATGACCAACCGTACAATGAGTGCTATGCAGATCATTTCAATAGTTTATTTCTACCATACACAAACTGTACAACACAGCGCAGTACTGCTTATGAAATTTTAAAAGTGTAAGGAAATCCTGATATACAAACAAACTACTCGAACTGAAAAAATAAAAATAAAACAAAAACAAACTAAATCATTTACAGGACCGTGTATTATACTGTTTTTTTTCTTTTACACAAAAAAATCCATATCACATTACAAAACATCAAATACAAAAAGAAAAAAAATAAATATTCCTCACAAAACTTCCTGAGCAAACAATCTGTGGTTTATAAATTAAAAATTAGGAATTACAAATCATTTAAACAGAATTAATCATACAGTAATTTAGGATTTTAACAAACAAAATTGATTTGTTTTATTGAGAATACAATTCATTATGCTCATTTGGTCAGATAATATAGTGTTTTATTCCCTCTGAATGACCTGCAACAAAACTATTTTTGACATCATCAATGGACAACGTAAATCTAAGGTTAAACTCCTTCAGTGTGCTAATTAACCTGCACCGATCACGCATTTGTGACCCGCTCAAAATAAACACTAAATAACAGAATAAAAGTGCAAAAGGGTACGTTTAGTGTTAGAGAAAGCTTTAAAAGTGCTGCGACAAGGCCGTTTGTGATCGTAACACAGCAATAACAGCACTCAGATCTGCTGAGGTGACCTCGGCCGTGCATTTAAACACAAAATCAAGTGGTACAGATCCAGTCATAATGGAAAGATTACTCCCTATTGCCGTAAATCATCCATTTTCATATTTTAGTGGCTTGAAGACATGAAGTGCTTTGAGAAAATATCATCCATAAAAGCTATTTGAGAGCCCACTGTTGTTTGTCGCACAAAAGAAGCCAAAGGTTGAGGAGTTCAGTCTCACAGAAAAGAATGAAAAACCTTATTGTGCCTGATCATAAAACACTTTTTTTTTTTTTTTTTACAAGAATATCGTTACATACTTAAAATGCCGTATAAACAGTAGGTAAACCGAGTTTAGAGGCTTTTCATTCAGAAAATAAATATACTGCAGAATAAAATGAATCACCATTCACGTAATACTGCTCTACCACAAAACAGATCATATTCCATGTACTCATTTACATTTAGGCACATATATGCACACACACGGATGTGCACACCGAAGGCAGTTCATATGAACAGAAACGGAAATCATTTTGTGTGTGTGGATGATTTGATTTTTGCTCACTGTACAGTCGTTTGGAGAGTTACTCGGATAAAATGTTTTTCTTTTTGCTCACTTATTAGAATTTATGCATGAAAGCAAATGATATCATTTCAGTGACATACATTAACTACATTAAAAAAAAAAAAAAGTCAGGGATGCATACAGTACGGTTCAGCTGCTCACCAACAGGTGGCAAAAGTGGACTATTCTTACATTTGACATCAGTTATGAAGAAAAAGTCATCACAAATGCCGGTGAAATATTTTGAACGACTAAAACGCCCAGTTATTGTACAATAAATGCAAAATAAAATTCACAATATGTAAGACTGGCCTTGCATTTTGGAGTTGCAGCAAAAAATGATAGCAATAAATCAATCAATAAATAAGATTACTGTGAGATAAATAGTACCGATGAATAAAGATAATATGTAGCAATAATATAATAACACACGAAAGAACAATACGGAATAAAGTCAAGCAAACCATAGGAAATAAATAAGTGCAAAAGGAGGTAAAATCTCACTGAAAGGAACATTGAGCTGTAAAAATGTGGCTGGTATTTTTCAGTGCAATGCATTTATCATGGAATGGAGTTACTTTTTTTTTTTATTAATCGAGACGTATCTTTGCACAGATGACAAAGCCAGCCCTCTGCGGACAATCAAACGGTTGTGAACGAGAGTTTGGCCTTATACGTGAATGCCCTTGATGGCCTGTCTGATGCTGTCCAGTAAGGCTTTGCATTCTGGTGAATACTCGTGCTCTGAATTGTTGTACATATCCGTCAACGTGTTCACATATGCTTCGAAGTTCTGTTCATTTATCGGACCCTGAAACACATTAAAGAACATTGCATTCATTAACTCTGAAATGCATGTTTCATAATGTCTTTAAAATGCATTCAACCCTTACAAACATGCACAATTCTAACTATAGTTTACCTCAAAATACCATAAATACTCCAGTTGTTGTTGCTACAGTAAAATCATATTAAATTAAATTAGCCTACAAACAAGTCTTAAGACTCATGTGGCTAATAAATTGTCTAGTTTTAATGACAGTAGTGGCTAATACCAAGTTACCACAGTTTTACTGTAGTAACTACGGTACTTTGTTAGAAAATACACGGTAAAATATAAAACGTTCAGTTGGTACCTTAAAGGAAATATTTAGAGCTGATAAAAATGACTTTCATTAGTGTATCTAATTTATGCAGTTTGATTTGGCCCTATTAAATAATGTTTTTAATATTAAATATTATTATTTTAGTTAATGCATTAACTAACATTAACAATGAGCATTTGTTACAGTATTTTTTAATCTTTGTTAAAGCTATAACTTTTGTTTCATTTTGGAATTAACAAGATTATTCATTGCTTTAGAAGTATTTTTTTATTGTTAGTTCATGGTAGCTAATGTAGTTACCTAATATTAACACAGGGTTTTTGCGGGTCAATCACAAATTAAGGCCTTAAAAGTTGCATGCACTGCACTAACTAAATAAAAAAAATACATACATACATAATGTCTTGTTACATTACTTGAAATGCAATGTGAAGATAGTTAAAGTCTTGTTTTCTGAGAAATTGAACAAGTTTAAGTGATGTTATGCTTTAAACAATAAAAAATAGCTCTCAATATGGTATGAAAACTATTATTTTCTTTACTTCGTCTTAAAAAAATCTTTAAAAAGTCTTACACTGGCCTTGATAAAACCTGCAGAAACTCTGTAACAAATGAAACCTTCTAAGTGGAGTATTACCATATTTTTAAAGTATTATGTTCCTTGAAAACCTGATTTTGTTTTTACAGTATAGTCAGTTACCATAATCAAATTTTGTAAGGGACCTCATGCAGTGATTAAAACTGTAATAATATTTGTTGACAGAGATCAGGTTATGCTTTACGTGTTTATCTGTGTCAGTGTGAGGTCCGTCTCACCATTTGCGGCAGCTGGATATCTGTGAGACTGCTGATAAGTGCTTGACTGAGACGCGCTAACTCCTTCAACAGACTGTCGTTGTGCTGCTCGATTATTTTATTCTCCTCCTCGATAGTCTTCAGGTTGCACTCCATGGATGAAATCTGTTTTAAAACAGGGCAAAACAAGGTCTTTAGCTCTGAAACTACATTACCCATAATGCTCGGCGCATGACAAGGTTATTTACCTGAGTCTGGAGCTGCATCATGTCTGCTTCTATCTTCAGATTGGATTCATTTAGCTCCTTTATTTCGTGATCCAAGTGCTGCATGTCTTCATTGTTTTCAATACCTGATCGACAGAAGACAAACCAGACAATGGTCATCTCAACTAAATTACTTGAGAAGCTGCCGCAACTTTTGAAGCTCTTTTTTTTCCTTGTCGCACACTACAATGATAATATTAGCGGGTCAAACATTAAGCATTTAGCTTAATTTTATGCTGTTTTATTCATTTTAAGTGCTTAAAGTACTCACCGCTGCTGGTTTTGAGTTTGATGGTCATCATCTCCTCATCGGAGAGTTTCTTCTTGATACTCTGGGCGTTTAGTGGACATCCTGACAAACTACGAAGGGACCAAACACAAAATCTACAGATCAGTACTAGATATTTTGAGTTTTTTCTTTTTATATCTACACAAATTATAATCTAGCTTCAGAAATCATGAGTATAACATATGACCATATTTATGACCAATTTATATAAATACATATATATAAAAAAAATCACATGAATCTTATTTCTGAAGTCAACCTGTATATATTTGTGCATTTAAATATTTATTTTGAATATTTATGTGAAAAAATAAACAACATTAATAATCCAGATATGCTAGCTTGATTGGAAATAAAATATAATATTGGAAATGTAATAATAATATTGGAAACTTATTGGAAATATTATAATGATAACATAGTTCAGTAATATGCATAATATATATATATATATACAGTATGTGTGTGTATATATAATTAAAGAACAAAATACATATTTTAAATCATAAATACTGTTGTTATCTTATTTCTGAAGTCAACCTGTATATATGTGTATATGTAATATTTGTTTTGTATATTTATGTTAACATTTTTATATTATATAATATATAGTATTATTACATTATATATAACAATATAATTAATTAATTTAATATATATTTCAATATAATTTAATAAGTACTTAACAACTTCACAATGACTGTGTTCAAGTTAGGACATGAGGTCTTATTATCCAGTATGTAGGTTTAAAGTTTAACATCAGAACTGAAGTTCCAGGTTATGATATAGTTTGCTCACCTCCTGTGTGTGATGAAGACGTTGTTGGCGTGACCCAAGCCGTTGCAGCCGGGCAGAGGGCAGTGTGGAAGCTCCTGTTTACAGAGCTTCCAGGAGAAGGCCGATCCGTTCACCGGGCTCTCCTTCTGCCGTTTGGTGGCGATGGGGCAACTTCCTGCGCTGCGATGAGACGTGTATTTACCCGACACGTGGCCCTGACTGTCACAACCTGCCACTGGGCACCTGGTGCACGAGAAAGGAAATATATCTTTTTATTATATATATATATATTATTTACCGCATTCACAACAGGACAATGTACACTGATATCACTGCCAAATTATGTGCATCCTGGTGAAAATATTGTCACTGTCCATGAATATAGTACATAAATTAAGACATTTAAAAAAAAAAAAAAACCTTAAGTGAAAGTAGGATCATCAACATCAGGAGGTCTAACTAAATATTTTTTTCTTATTCATTTTATGACAAAAAACAAAATATAAAAGCAAAATATATAAATATAAAGCAAAATATTATGCTTTTAGCACTTAAAACTATTAGGGGTTTAACAACTGCAGTTTTCAGGGAGTTTGGATACTGTATATATTCAACTAAAATTAAATAAAAACTGAAAATATAAAAATAAAATCTAATTAAAATAATAATAAAAACCCTATAATATACTAGTTGGGGGGATCAAGGTCATAATCTGCATCACAAAGGTTGTTTGGTATTGATTTCTGGGTCACCATGCCAAAACCCACACAGATGTGACCCGACCCCTCGATGTGCTTAAATTAAACCCCTTGCACAGCCTTCTTTTGTTGTCCTAAACTCAACAGAGTAACAGCGATTGCCAAAGATAATCTCTGATCATCAACATCAGGAGGTCTAACTAAATATTTTTTTCTTATTCATTTTATGACAAAAAACAAAATATAAAAGCAAAATATATAAATATAAAGCAAAATATTATGCTTTTAGCACTTAAAACTATTATAAAATAAAACAAAAACTTAAAATATTTCTCAGTTAATAGTTAAAGCAGTTACTAGTGAACTTTTTAGACTGAATTTATGCAGTGCACATATATAGATTTCTGAATCTGAATTCTACTACTAAAAAATGACAAAAAAAACAATCACAAAGGTTGTTTGGTATTGATTTCTGGGTCACCATGCCAAAACCCACACAGATGTGACCCGACCCCTCGATGTGCTTAAATTAAACCCCTTGCACAGCCTTCTTTTGTTGTCCTAAACTCAACAGAGTAACAGCGATTGCCAAAGATAATCTCTTATTTGAGACTGAACTAGTTTCAGAGCTTACAACGTAAACACAAATGAGCCCATATACATTCACTCGGTAATTTGATGACTAAAACTTCCAACGGCCCACACCGCCGCCGCGTGTTTGTCATTTCGCATGTCCATAAATACCCCCAACCCCCAATTTGCTGAGTTGGAAGACTTTTCAAATACCATTAAGAAGATTAATCCTGTGAAATGCTGATTAAAAATGTATTCAAAGCAGAAAAAAGGGCTGGAATAATTCTATCGGCACACACGGAAAGTCAAACATGACATATGTGACGAACCTTTCAGAAGTTCAAGCGTGCAGACGTGTGTGTGGGAAAGATACGCTGCGTTTACTGCGTGATGTTTCAAGCTTCGACACCTGTCGTGTTGCCATTGAACAGGGGTCATTACCTCAACAGCCGTGAAATGCCACAAAGTATTCACTCTTTGCCGATTACCCGGTTTTAAATGCAAATTATTTAACCCACTGAGTGCCTTTGTGTGGCCTGATGTTTAAAATTTATTATAGTAAAATGTTAAAAATGAGACATTGTGCTATAATGAAAAGCATGACCATTTATGTCATGCAGAAACATCAAAAAATATCACTACATTTTCATCTTTCATTGAAGTCTAAGATTATTTAGTAGAGATTTCCTATTTAATGAGGCTTACCTCCTATGAGATGCATAGTTTCCTGTCACATGACCTGAGCCGTCACAGCCAGGAGTTGGGCACCTTTAAAACAGATAGAAATTTATGTCAATGATACAAATTACTATGATAAATATTAGATGAATAAGTAATTTAATATCCTAATGATTTTTGGCATAAAAGAAAAATCTATCATTTTGACCCATACAATGTATTTTTGGTTATTGCTACAAATATACCCGTGTGACTGGTTTTGTGGTCCAGGGTCATATATATATAGATGACATATGACGTCTGTGTGTGTGTGTGTGTGTGTGTGTGTATATCATAATAAGTTTATATATAATAATAATAATAATAATAATAATAATAATAGCAATAAATATTTACATTATTCATTACTTAATATTAAATATATTATTCAATATATATTATATTTACCATATTCATATTAGATTAATATTATAAATATTAATTATATTAATTATATGTGTGTACATAAATATTCATAATAAATTCATATAATAACAATAACAACAACACCAATAATAATAAATATTTATAATTATAATACAATTATAATAATAGTTGCTAGTTATAGTAATTCATAAAATATATATTTTCATAATACAATTCATAATAATAATTTATATAATAATAATAACTCCAACAATAATAATGCATATTTAAAATGTTTATACAGTTATAATTATAGTTATTAGTTATAATAATTCATAAAAATATATATATTTTTTACATTTACTTACATTATTTCTACACATTAATTCTCTGTAACTTTAAAATAATTTATTATTTTTATTTAATTGAAACTTTAATTCAAGCTAATTCTTACTTGAGCTCTTGAGAACTAGCAGCCATTAGTGATTTCAGGGTCTTATCGGCCAATGGGCAACCGGATACACTACAAAAATGAAAAAATAAAATAAAAATACCGGAGACATAATGTATATTATTTTGAATATTAATGTATATTATTAAGATTATTTTGCTGCTTGAAAAATAAAGAGGGTGAAAAATATGGGCGGGGCTTTTTACCTTCTATGTGATGCATAATTTCCTGTCACATGACCACTACCATCACAACCTGGCGTTGGACAACTGCAAAGAGAAAAAGACCAGATGAATGATCAGATGCACACAGCCTATGATTTCCTGATCTACTATACATGCTCTAATTAGTAACAGGGTCTTTTGCATGCTAATGTGTGACCCAGAAACCCCGAAACAGAATGAAGATATAAAAACAGCAGTCCATATAATGATATTACCTCATCAGCTCTTTCTTGTTGTCTCTTATGAGCATCTTGTTTTTTGCACTTGCCATGTTTACATCTCCGTTGTACGCTTTATCCTCGAGGGACGCCTTATCCAACTGATCCATCTACAAGACACAGGACAAAATGCCAAAACATTGTGCAATTTTCCAAGAAAAGTCGCGATGGTCACTTAAAAATGGCATTCTGTAAGCACACACGCACACTAATAGTCTGTGAGAGGTTTGATGCTGCTTAAGTATACTTAATAAAACATATATCCATTTAAACTCCAGTATAATCCCTCGTAGTATTTATGATGAATATAAAACCTTTGGATTTACTTTTTTTATAAGGTAAGTATCTTTGAGCACCAGATGTCAGATGGAGAATCAGACAAACATACAACTGTCTGGGTTTGTTCTTTGACGCCAAAGAGGATGAAAAATTGTCGGCTTTTCAGGAACATTCTTCTGCAATTTCTTTTTAATTTAGCTTTCATGTCATAGCAGCGCATCACAAGAGACAGTGTGCCTAAAGTCGTGGCTGACTAACCGAGATCATTTAGATGAATAAATAGAAAGTTAAGGGTTTTAAGTTAAATATGTTCTTAATGTAGCATACAACAAAGTCAAAGAGCATTTAGACACTGAATGTGGTTTCCTCAGGACATTATTATAATTAGATGTTATTCATTTTCCACCCAATTCTATTAGCTTCATACAGTACCGCTCAAGATTTAAAGAAAAAAATAAATGTATACTTTAATTCAGCAAGGATGCATTAAACTGATCAAAAGTAACAGTAAAGTCATTTATAATGTAACAAGAGCTCTATTTAAAAAATTATTATCTATTATCCTAAAAAGAAATGTATGACAGTTTCTACAAAAACATTAAGCAACTTTTTTCAACTGTTTTCAACATCGATAATAATAAGAAGTGTATCTTGAGCAGCAGATCAGCATATTAGAATGATTTCTGAAGGATCATGTGACACTGAAGACTGGAGTAATGATGCTGAAAATTCAGCTTTGCATCACAGGAATAAATTACATTTTAAAATATATTCAAATAGAAAACAGTTATTTTAAATTGTAATAATATTTTACAATATTACTGTTTTTACTGTGCTTTTGATAAAATAAATGCAGCCTTAGTGAGCATTAAAGACATCTTTCAAAAACATTTAAAAATCTCATCGAACCAAACTTCTATATGATGCATTAAGGAAGAAAAAGAAAAGTGCCTCTATCCCACCTCTTTGTCTTGTTGCACAGGTGTTTTGCTGTAGTTCAGCGGCGTGTCCCAGGCGTCCTGTTCGTAGAGGACGCGGTAGATGGCCGGGGAGATCTGGAGACCCGCTGCTTTGGCTAGAGAAGGTTCAGGTGGGGTGAAAAGGACATCTCCTAATGCCGGCATCACAGGAGAGTCCCTCAGACCGTAAAAAAAATCTCACCGAGCCAAACCGTTGAATGGTAGTGTAAATATCTGCCTCTGTCTCTCCTCTTTGTCTTGCTGCGCAGGTGTTTTGCTGTAGTTCAGCGGCGTGTCCCAGGCGTCCTGTTCGTAGAGGACGCGGTAGATGGCCGGGGAGATCTGGAGACCCGCTGCTTTGGCTAGAGAAGGTTCAGGTGGGGTGAAAAGGACATCTCCTAATGCCGGCATCACAGGAGAGTCCCTCGCCTTTTCTCTCTTTTTCTTCATACTTAAATCCAGCGTTCCATTCTCGTCTACCTCTATTAGCGAATCCTGAATGAAAAAGGAACATAAAAAGCCTTGTTGATAACCAACCTTTGATAACCAGAGTGGTTTTCCCATAGAAAACAGTTTTCTGAGCCAAAAAATCTACACTTCTATCATAGTTAGGGTTAGAGACTTGAACGAACCCCTAACTGTGAATGTTACAATTATGTGCATAACTCATCCGACCTTATGTGTTACTGTCATAAACGATACCTCAAAATGTGTGGATTGTTAGTGTGGCGAGTTTTTACTTTTCTTACCAGTTAAACGTACAATTTTTGTATTGCAGACAATAAAATGGTTAAAAAAACCCATCTCAAATAGAAGCAGGGCCGGATTTACGCATAGGCATTCTAGGCACGTGCCTATGCTCGCTCGTCCAGGGGGGGCCCAAACACAATGAAGAGATATATAATATTTTTGTTATACTATGGGATATCTACAACAGTAAAAGAACCAAAACCCCAGAAGACATTGAGCAAATAAATATAACAAACAATAGGGTAAAAATGACAAACTATTTCCATGTCTTCAACCTTTTTTATGTACGGAAATCACGCTTTCTTTCTCGCGTTCTCTCCCACAGACGCACACAGTAGTTAGTTACAGACACGCACTCGCGCACACATGCGGAGACGTGGACAGAAACTTGTTGTCAGAGCTGCGGCTGCCTCGCGAATTTATCAATAAAATAGTTTCGCAGCTGAAAAGCTACATGACATTTCTCAGTAGCGAGGTTCTTGAAGCAGTTCAACTTAAAGATTCGCTATTAGTAGACGCTGCTGCTGAATGCTGCTGAGAGACGCACGTATTCACACGCGCTTAATCTCTCTCTCCCTCTCTCTCTCTCTAATAACTGCGTTAGACTGCATTAATAACTGCATTAGCCTGCATATCAAAATGGCTCAAGCCTCTGTTATTAGCTCTAAAATGACATTTTGGAATTTGCAACGGAACGTTTGCGGAAAATTAGCTAGTTCAACACACAATATTTCAGGACTGAAACATGTTAAATATCTTGAAACAAATCATCTGAACAATTGATGTGTGATTGTGACTCTAGGCCGTTAAAATGATACTCCCGAAGAGGTTATGTGGCCACGTCGCCGCGCCTATTAATGGAATGGTCTTTCTCAGTTCTCAAACAAATTAAGAACTACATTCAATTTTTATTGACTAAACGCAAGCGCTTATTGCGATAGAAAATACTGTAATGGTTTCACTGATTATGAAATATTTTGGTTTGCTTGGGTGGTAATATTAGGCCTATTATATTAATAGGGAAGGGGGGCCCAAAAAGTTGTTTTGCCTCTGTCACGAAAAGAGGTAAATCCGGCCCTGAACAGAAGAGAATATCACAGGGACTTGGATGGAGTTTTTTTTTTCAATAAATTAATACTATTATTCAGACAGAGCATTACATTTATCAAAAAAGATTATTATTTTCAAATAAATGTTGTTCTTTTGAACGTTTTACTCATCAGAAAATCCTGAATTTTTTTTATCATGGTTTAAGCAGCACAACTGTTTTCAACACTCAGAGCTCTATTTTAAAAATTATTATCTATTATCCTTAAAAGAAAGACAGTTTCTACAAAAATATTAAGCAACTGTTTTCAACATCGATAATAATAATAAGTGTTTCTTGAGCAGCAAATCAGCATATTAGAAATATTTCTGAAGGATTATGTGACACTGAAGACTGGAGTAATGATGCTGAAAATTCAGCTTTGCATCACAGAAATTAATTTAAAAATTAAATGTATTCAAATAGAAAAAAGTTATTTCAATTTGTAATATTATTTCATAATATTACTGGTTTTTTTTGTATTTGTGAGCATGAGACTAATGTTAAAAACATTTTAAAAATCAGCATGTTTTTTTTTTACTGTGAATGAGTAAATTAATTATTTGAATATTACACCATATCTTATTTTCATATGATTAATAATGTCAATTTATATTAAACATATGTAGGTTTTCTAGTTAATGGACATAGATATGGTTATTTATTTATTCATTTTTCTTCCATTTTTTTCCCAGTGCCAGGTGGATTCTAGATGTCAGCCAAAATGGTTTTAGGTCACAATCATTAATGGTGAGTTTAAAAGCTCTGCGTTGCTTAATATCATAACTTTTATCACCAACAGATGTGCTGGTGTATGAATTTGTGTTATAGCGATACATTTTTATGGAACTCGTTAACTGCTTAAAAACGTGACACACCAATCATTCCACACACATTTTGCACAGCAGCAAACAAAGGAGAGCTCTAATCACAATAATTCAGATTACAAACCAAATATGGCTCTTTCTCGAACCAGCTAGAATCGACCAACTGCGCACCTATCCAGTTCATCCCTGCGCACGATGTGAGTTTTTCTCATCTGATGACATTCTCTCCAGCCTCAGAAACCAGTGAGGTGACATCTTTCTCCCACACTTCTATGAAACGCTGCAAGACGATAAGCCGTATTCTTAGCAAAAAAAACAAGCGACTTGGCACAAACAGGGAAATCGAGATACTTAACATGCATAAAGACATTTCGACGCAGACATCAGCAGATGACAGATCGACTAACACTGTTTTATTCATTCGCTCAGTTTGTACAGTATACCTGCTCTCTGCCCACTGAGTGCTGGGACTACGAACGGCCTGTGTGGTGTGTAGGTGTGTGAAGCGTTTCATGCCATACTTCTGCGAGTTTCTCTCAGTTTTATCTCTCCGTGTCTAAGAGGAAGACCTGCTTTGATTGAAGTTATCAAACTGTGGGATATGTACCTAATTATTACTAAAATATACAGCATTAGGATCCTGGACTGTTGTTTTATTATGCCAACATATAAGAAGAGTTTACATTATTCACATTAATTACATTAAATTGCATTATTTTTTTATAAGACTGTTTATAAGAATTTCTATATGCAAGTATTATTAATAAATAATATTTATGTATATTATTTAAATAATCCTTTTTGTATGTAAATATTATTAATACATTTTTTTAAATTAAATAAAAAAGATTTTTATAGTTTTACAAAGAGATAAAGCCAGAAGACTTTTCATTTTTATATTATATTTAATATTTAATAGCTAATTTTTATGGCACTTTTCCACTTTTTGTCTGAGAGAAAAGAAGAAATAATACAGGGAATGTTGCAGGCAAGATTCGAACTTGCTTTGCCCATAACCACTAGGCCATGACTCCAGCATGCTTTTTAAATATATTTTGACTGTTTTTACCATTTTTATTAATATATGTGTATCAACAGTTTGTTTTTCTATTAAAAGGGGGCTGAATATTAAAAAAATATAATATACTGTACATCAAAGGTATCAAACTGGATGGATCAAACAATATGTTATGTTTCTAATTATTACTAAAATACACAGCATAAGGATCCTGTAATTTTACTATGCATTTTGATTAAATTACGAGTGCTTATTTAAGAAGCTAGTTTCAGGAATGTATATTTATGATTATAATAGCTCACTTTTTTTGGCATTATTCCACTTTTGTCTGAGAGAAAATAAGAATACAGGAAATGTCGTAAGCTGGACTCGAACATGCTTTGCCTATATGCACTATGTTTATGTTTTCCATTTTATGGAAATTATTGAGAGTAGCATTATTTATATATGCATATCAATAGTTTGTTTTTCTATTAAAAACAAGGCTTAATTAAAGAGCATAACTGTATCATAACAACATATCAATTTCCACACTATAACATACATAATCTGACGGCCTGTGTAGACTTTCCTTATTTCATTTAAATAAAAGAGTGATGTCTATTAATCCACAGCCAATTGATATAATCCAACTTCTCATAGATCGTCTGTTAGAGATCAACGCCAAAGGATCTGTACAAGCTTATCTAGGATAATATATTACTTAGCAAAATGTCTTCGACCATCTGCACTGAAAAAAAAAAAACACACTCTCTCCTGCAAACAAGAGAAAGACCCAACATTACCATTAACACAAGCAGAAATCAAATGCACGGCCACATGTTTTACAAAAAGCCTTATAATTGTCATAGAGAAGGAAGCTGTGATTGTACTCCTCCCAACTCTTTTTGATGTGATTACACAAATTCTCCTTTGTGTATATTAAAGCTTTAGGGGCAGTGTGGGTAAAAGAAAAAAAAGCTCCCACTCTCTTGTTGTTGTGCCACCAGAGGCAACACAGTTCTCTGTGCCAAAAAGTGTCTTTTGATGTTACTCCTCTTTTTCATACACAAATCACAGTTGTTTCAGAATGACCACATTAAATACCTTTTTCTGAGTGGTCTAATTTGATTACCTTTGTGGATGATGCCAGGGGCCGGCTGTGGGGCAGGACCTCGCCGTTGTCTCGGCAACGGGTGGAGAGGTTGAGGATGGCTGCAGATGCGATGTTGGACTGGAGGGCGTTGCTTTGGGCTTTATGGCGACTGGGGCTGTTGTCTCCGGCCATGATCATATGACCTCCGGGACCCAGAAAACAGGGGAACTGAGTGGCTGGAAATGGTAGGTACAGTTAGTACTCAGAAAAAGAGGAATCGCGGGAGAGTGATTTTGCATAGACAGACTGAGGAACTGCAACCCCACATCTATGAAGGCAGGTTTAAAAAAAAATTATACATATATTGAACATATTCATAATAAGCAAATGGCTTTCTACACTGTATTTTAACCAATAATTACACAAAAAGATCAATATAAATCTCTCTTGTGCTCTCTCTCTCTCTAAATATATAAAATCATTATTATTAATATAATTTATATATATATAATTTTTATTATAGATTTAGTTATAGATAATAAGTCTGTGTGCATTGAATTTATTTAATACACGAGTTTCACAATTTGAGTTGAATTACTGAAATAAATGAACTTTTCCATGACATTCTAATTTATTGAGATGCACCTGTATATATATATATATATATATATATACATTTTAAATAGAAAACACTTTTACATTTTCTAAAGAAAATGTGAATGGTGTTTTCGTGTGCAAAGTTACTGACATGAGGCCAGGGTGTTGCTATGCAGTTGCTAAGATGTTCTGAGTGTTTTCAGTGTTGCTATGTGGTTGCTAGGGCATTCTAGGTGGTTGATTATCAGCCTAAATCAGGGTGCTTGTATATGGCGCAAACAAGTGAATGTACATGTACAGCTCTAAGTCACACATGATGACACTGAAAACAACAGCTTTTTAAAAATAGTATTGTCAGTGCATGCTGGGTAACCTTTGATTTGAGACTAAATAGACACTCACAGTCAGGAAAGTGTGCAGATTCGTGACTCTGGTCGGATGCCATCTGAGCCTGCTTGCCAAAGACCTGGGCGTCAAAACTGGCGTAGTCGAAATGGCCTTTAGTGTACTTGTCCATGTCTTTGGCCATGCTGGCCTGCAACGCTGCCATAGGATGTGCAAATCTGTACGTGAAGTCAAATTTCTTCATGTTTCCTAAAGGTCTGAATAGAAGAGAAGGAAAACATCAAGACTTCAGAATTGCATTAATGTTTTTAAAACACGTTTCTATTGCTCCTTATTCTTTAGCATAAGAAAAGACACACTACATCTTTAATAAACCATTCCCAACCAAATGTATTTATTTATTTATATAATGTAAAGCTCCAAAAGAATGAACAGGTCAGATGCCTATAATTATCTTTCAGAAAGAATACTTATGAACTTATTTTCAACCTGCTTGATTGTAAAGGAATCAAGAGCTCCATAAGACAATGCTGCTTCTAGATGAAGGTTTCTTACCTCGTCATCCTCTCTGTCATCTGTCTGCACTTTGCTGGATCCTCCTGCGGTTTGGAGATCTTCTCTGCAGCAGCTATCGGGCAGCCTGAGAGACTGTGTGAAAACAGACATCAGAAGTTAGTCTCCTCTGGGTTGTTAACTTTATTTTAATTGAATTCGGGTGCACAATTAAAAAGAATCCAATAGTTCCTATGAAATAAACATCACAGTGTTTTATAGACTAGTTAAGTGTCATTGGATTTTTCCTGATAAAGTGAAACTTCATGATTCTTTTTAAGCAAATATCCAAGTTTCATTGCAAGCGCATCTCTTTTTTTGGGTAAATTAACATGTCTGATGCTTTGAGGTGGTTTATATCAGTGCAACAGTGCAAAATAGAGTAACACTGCTTTTTCTTTGGGTCAAATTGCGAATGTTGTCAACTGCTAATGTTATTATTAAACCACTCATCATTTCATTTTCCCCAATTTCACATCCCCGCTGCTAAATATCTATGCAAATCTGTTTACAACGAACAAGGAGGATTGTAAAGAAATTAATAGTGTAATTTGAGTATAATTTAATGTTGAGTAAAACCATAAAAACGCTTTTGTTACTTGAAATAAAATAAACTTTAACTGAAATAAAATATTTAGTTCAGCTAGTTCAGCCAAGGCTACATTTCTCATTTTCATTTAGTGTAACTTGATGTACTAAAATAACTAAAACCGATAATAATAATAATAATAAAAACTATGGAAGCTCATTTATGCCATGGAATAAATTTTTTTTTTTAAAAAGGTAATAGCGACTTTTTATCTCACAATAATATCAGAATTCTGAGATATAAACAGAATTCTGAGATATAAACTCAAAGTTTATATATTTTTTTTCCTCAGAATTGTGAGAAACAAATTCTGAATTGTGAGATAAAAAGTCGCAATTACCTTTTGAATTTTTTTATTCCATGGCAAAAACGGGCTTCCATAAAAACTATATAGACATATTTTTAAAAAATAATAAAAAAATTAATTAAAAATAAAATGACAAAAACACATAACAAAATTACTAAAACTTTAAATAAAAATTAAAACCGTAAATATAAAAATAAAAACTAATTCACAATATTAATAAAAACTCTAATAATATCAGTATTAGTATAATATGATACTAAAATAACACTGGTATAATCCAGCTGTTTTCTGACCTTCTATGCGTGCTACGGTTACTGTTGACATGACCTCTTCCTGTACAGCCAGGTGTCGGACACTTGAGGACGTTTTCATGCATGGCGAGGACTGTTAAGAAACAACAGAGTAATGTTTAACAAAAGAACAATTGTACAATAAGAATGGACGTCACATTAAATAAACAGTAATTCAGCATTTTGTGTTATTCACTTCTATTGCAGCTGTTTCAACTTTTCATGCTAAACAAAGTTTCCCATGCCATTCTTTGCAACTTAAAATGGTCTCTCCCTTCAAATATGAACATGCAAAAACATCATGACTACAAATGCATTTTGATTATCATTTAAGAGAGACGCACATATTGTTGAAGTACTATCCTCAGTAACTTTTCAGTCTGTTCATAATTAGTTTGGAGGATGTGCCCGTCTATTTTGGCTGCATGCACGGGTCCTTTGATTTGCAGAATGCTGCCGCTGGTTTATGAGTACATGCTTTCATATTGGAGGAAAAAAATGGAAAAAAACTTAATTACATTTCTCCGTTCCCTCCTTCAGGGAACGAGGGTTACCATACGTAACCGAGACGTTCCTTTTGTCAAATCACTGTTTAATGGCGAATGTTTGTTGTGCTACTCTCAAATGGAGAAAACAGCAAGTGAAAAGTTGTTTCCAGAAAGCATTTTTAATTTGCCTACCACAGGAAATCAAACCTCACTTGTTTTGATAACTAAAAAATTTCTTTGAAAAAAAAAAAAATTTTTTTTTAAACTTTCAGCTTAAAAAAAACGTGGTTTCTACTGGAAAGCTCAAGATAAGGAATAAATACATGAAATGCATCCATGTAAATGACATATTACATGCTTCACATCTGTGATTTTTTTTTATTAGAGGTATTTTTGACTAATTGAAAGCTTGAAAAATTACACCTCAAATTGTTTAATCTATGTTTATCGTATTTTATCGATTTAATGATTTATGTAATCAGTCTTTTCATCATTTTATCACATCTGCAGTTATAAACAATGTTTTTTTTTTGTTTTTGAGGAAAGTTTGGCAATTAGCTTTAAACTTACAAAAATAAAAAGAAATGGACTGCTTCTGAATTAAAATCGAAAATCAAAACTTTAATGAATGAATGAATGAATGAATGGTTTTTTTTGGGTGGGGGGATTAAATAAAAATTGCAAACATTAATACCAAATAAGATGAAAATATGATTTATTTTAAGAGCAGAATTTCCCTGGATTTTAAAACGTTTTATAGCTGTAACTGTAGCATTAAAATATAATGTTTGGCTCAAATTCTGTGAAATTTGGAGTCAGTAGTGAAAACTTTTTATAAACTTTTTTTTTTCTATCTATCTATCTATCTATCTATCTATCTATCTATCTATCTATTATTATTAATATTATTATTTTATTGAATTTTTTGCATTAAAATATGAAGTCTGGCCAGTCCAAAATATTAAAATCCTGGCAAATGTAACACTTCAAAGCTCCTAAAATTTAGGAAAGATTAAGAAGCTACAATAAAAATTTAAGTTAACAATACAAAAAGCTAAAGATAAAATATTTAAATATAACATTTAAAAATGTATGAATCTTGCATCTTCTTATCACAGAAATAACTATTAGATATTTTTTGTAGCATGCATTTAAATTGAATACACGTCATGTAATGTCTCTATGCAGAAATGCGCTGAATATAATAGAGGCTGGTTAGTTAAGCAGTCACCATGTTATCTTTTGTCCCTCAGTATCTGTACAACTAAACCTTGATCATTAGTATGGCATGAATATTTATGGGCTGAAAATGATCACAGTGTTGTTATCACTAATTGTATTTGTTCTGTTTGTATTGTACTGCTGTGAAGGGAGGAAATGTGTCTAATGTCCTCAGGAAGTGATGCGTAACACGAGAACAGACTCACTCTCTGGGGGCACTCTGACTTTGTGGGGACATCCTGATAGACTCCGGTGATGAGGGTAGAGGCCTGTCACATGACCCGTCCCATCACAGCCCGGGGTCGGACATTTGATGTCTTTCTTTTCTGTCCGAGGGGAATCTATAACACACACACACACACACACACACACACACACACACACACACACACAAACAGTAAAAATAGTGCTCTTCAAGAACGTATAGTTATAGCTGATCCCATCCTGTCACGTTCCTCTCCATGTAAGCCTCCATTAGCGTCCTGTAACAGCATGTTGGGTATGTATGTATTCATCCATGACATTAGTTAAGGCTGCGGTCTTACTCAGGGCACCGGTTTCTTAGCGCTGATCCATTGAGAGATTATCTTCAGAGATTACCCATTAAACAGCAGTCAACGCAAGAATCAAAGTGCTTAAAGCTCACATCAGAGATACTTTACTAGGATTTATGACTTAATTTATGCTCAGGGTAAAATATCTGGCTGATACCGATAAAAATCCAGAGTTTCGTGTTACAGAGATGTCATCAGAAGATTTTCTTCTTGTACTTGTATTTTTTTTTCTATAAAACATGTTGGTTATTTACTATTAAATATTTTGTTGGCAAATGTTTTTAGCACTTAAGAGGATTTTATTTATCTATCCCTCTGAGCTAGAATCTCTCTATGTATCTTTCTTTTTATGTGTTGATACTGCAATATTATTGCAAAAATGCTTTTTTATTTTTTTCAAATTTCTATCACAATTTCTGTGATAGAAAATGCAAGATTCGTACATTTTTAAGAACATTTTTAAATATTATATTTAAATATTTTAGCTTTAACTTTTTGTATTTTTAACTTACATTTTTATTGTAGCCCCTTAATTTTAGGAGTTCTGAAGTGTTACATTTGCCAGAATTTCAATATTTTGGACTGGCCAGACAGACTGGCAAAAAAAACGATATATATATATAGATAGATAGATAGGTAGATAGATAGATAGCAAATGACTCTTATAAGCTAGTTCTTTTAGTGAATGAAAACACATGGAACTAACTGTGAGTTACTGATTGGTTGTTCATATGACAACGTAGTTAAAGATAATTAAATTAACTTAATAAACACAAAACAATACCAAATTTTCATTGTTTAGCATTGTTGTATTGTTATTGGATTGCCTTTATTAGACTTTAGACTTTTATTACCTCTAAAGTCAAATTTTTTTGTAAGAGTTGTTTTAAAAGTATTTATTATTGAAATCATCTCTTCATTTGGCAATGGAAATGCATTTCTTCATCCTAAATATTAATTTCCCTTAGTACTAAAATAATTGTAAATGAATCCATTGCGGAACCAGGATTTTTACAGAATTCAAACTATTAAAAATCATTGAAAATGTGATGAAGCTCTGGCGAATCTGTCATGAATCTCACCTTTGCTGCTGTGGTACATGGTCCGAGCGTCTATCTCCAGCATCCGCTGCTGCCTCCGTTCATGGTTCATCTGCTCCAGGAGGAAGCGGTCCATGTCTTTGTAGGCACTGTGGAGGACCTGTCTATGTTCAGACTGCAGCACCATGGCCTGCTCTAGAAGACTGAGGTTTAGTCGGGCCCTGTCCAGCTCCAGACGTCTGGCCACCAGACCTGGGCCCCAAACACCTCCTCGCTCCTCCATCCTGGGCGTCTGGAGCTCCTCCTCACTGTCGCTGAACTCTCTTACAGAGCCATACTCCTCCATCAAGATCCCTGCACTGTTTCTGTTCATGTAAGCAGAGAGGGCATCTTCGTGCAGCTGCTGTCCAATTCGGAGTCTCTTCATAAGAGTATCGTCTGCAGGTGGACTGGGGCTGTGATGGATCCCATTGACCTTCGTTAGGGACGGAGGAGCGCTCCATTCTTCTTCATCTGCCTCTGTGTCTGGAGACAGGTGATAACAGGCTCTGATCTCCTCCTGGTTTTTCTCTTCAAAGTCCTGGTTGTGTTCCTCCTCCTCCTCTTGCTCATTCTGGTGTTCAGATATCTGAGCCGCCAGGTTTGGCGAACGTTTACTCGTTTGTTCTGACCATGACAACAAGTGGTGAGACTTTGTGTTGTGATAGATAGTGTCTTCTAGAACATCACCACCGTTGAGGTCCTCATCTGAGACACAGAAGAACGGACTGGGCTTAAATTGATGGATCATCAGCAAGAGCTCATTACATGATTGTGTTTGGAGGGAAAATACTAACAGATGGTTTTCAGAGCCTTCAAAATCACAAGTTGTGACAAACATGACAACTTAAGAAAAACATGAAGGGAAACACAAAATATAATAAACCCTAAGAAGTAACTAAATACGGGCTTCATCATATTTCAAATGTGACTCTTTGGTCAAATGAAAAACAAGTTCAATTAATAAAATGATTAAATTAATTGAAAAAATGATATAAATGGGAAAATTCAAAATGAAAAATATTGTCAATAAAATATTATGACTTAAAAAAATGTAAAGGGAAGCACAAAATATGACAAACCTTAATAAATAAGAGAAAGATAGATATTTAAAAATGATACAAATGGGAAAATTAGAAAATAAAAAATAGAACATTTAGCATTTTGTTAAGAAAACATTGTGAGAGTTTTACATGTATCCCAAGTGCATAAAAATATTTTAGTTTAAAACGCCATCTAGTCTCCATCCAAACTTCAGATTATTAACTGAAATATATACATAACTTCACCTTAAAAAACAAATAGCATAAAATGTATATATAGTTATAAATAAATAAATAAACATTTCCCCTTCTAATTTAATCTGTTCAATTTATGTAACTGTATTGCTTTTAAGTGCAACTTGCTAAAAATGATACATGTACTGAAATTTTTTTTTCCACATCCACAATGGATAAGAGTACATGATATAAAGCTGTAAACGCTATTCAGAAAGAAGCATGATTTGCTATACTACTGTACCACTTCTGATAAATCCATAAAGCTTATTTGACTAGGGTTTATAGGGTGAATAATTCCTTTTTTGACAAATCTCAGACCTTTTATCCCTTAAAATCACCTTTAAAGGACTCATTGGAATCGCTACAGACCCGATTATATTAAGTAATCGAGTCAATGTTTAACAAAAGAATCTATCAGCTGGATTGATTTACAATCCACTAATGATCTCTCTGAAACTTACCCGCCGTGGTTAAAGCTCTTTGGGTACTAGGGTTTAAAGTTCAAAATACAGCGTAAGCTCGAGATACATCTATCCTCTTAGAGAGCCTTATGGCACCCTCCAAACCATATGCAACCACTGAGTTGATTAGATATTAGAGCATTTTGGCTGCCACCACATGCGGTTTCAGGGGCGTCTAATGGGATCATACTGCCTTAACAAACAGTTGCTTGTCTTAAAGAGCATATAAAGTAGTCCTGCTTTTAATCCCCCCAAAAACATCCCTAAATGGGGGATAGAGAGCTCTTGCCAAAAATGGAAACCAGGCTTTGAGGGGTTAGAGTGTGCTTGCCGATTCGTTCATACCATGCCAAACTCCGGCATAATGTCGCAGAGGTCTCCTTTGGCGCTGTACGAATGCGAAGGCATAATGCTAGCGCACAACCTAAATTTTGATTGTGTTTGTGCAGATAATTATAGTTTTTATGCATGCTGGTTGAGGAAAGGGTGGTTAATCGCGTCCGTTTTTATTTTTGGAATTGCATCCAATTGTATGCGTGTCGAATGTTACAGCACTGATTCTTGAGAGATGAAACGTGTCCCACACTTTTAAGTCAACATTGATATTAATCAGTGTTCAATAAATGTTCTTTACATAAATGATCCATTTCATCTTAGTTATATGAAAATATAAGTCACCAAACCACTCAGTACTTATCATATAAATAAAAAAATATATAACCGACATGTAAATATGTATGTTTACAAAATGTATCCATTTACTTACTTAGATGCAAAATGACTTAGGATATTAAGTATTGTTTTCTGAAAAATGTATCAAAATTTAGTGAGTTTATGTTTAAAAAAGAAACAAATATCTGCTAAAAATAAAGAAAAATAATCTTGTTTCCCTTTGAATTACGTTTATTTTTATATTACCCTACTGATAGATTTTTTTTAAGCATAAACTTGATCATTTTTTCAGAAAACAAGACTTAATATCTTAAGTAATTTTACTTCTCAAGTCAATATATCTTTGATATTTGTACTGGAAAACAAGACAAAAATACTACTCAAGATTTTTATATGTTATACACCTTAAAATACAACTTATTGACCACACAGCTTTCAAATTGTTTATGAAAATATGAATAAAATCAGGCTAGTCTTCATCCTGAATGATTTATTTTTCCATATGCTATTATGGCAACTCCAGAAAAACAAAATAGCTACAAAACATCTAACTAAATGTGATTATTTTGTCAACACGTCCCATCAGATTTTCCATGAGATGCTGCTGACATTTCAAAAGACAGAGCTGAAAATCAGTTTGAAACTATCCTGTAGTCTCAATATACTCTTAATCATAGTTGAATGCTCCATTTATTATAAATATCCAAAATGACAGTACTTATTTTGTTTGTATCTGACGGTATTGACCTGTACAGAGCGATAGGGAAGGATTTTTTTTTTTTTTTTGTAAAAATTTGGAAGAAGTAAGAAGTGGCACCAAAACATGAACACACTGAACAGATTTAACTTTAAACGTTAATATATTTATTTCTGATCTCAAGAATCAAGCAGGAACACAAAGCATCTGGAGCCTAAACCAAATGGAATTCCACAGCGAATGCACTTAAAAGCATCCGATTTTTTTCTGATTTTGTCGCTTTTGTCAGCAGTTTGAGGTGTGAAAACCCAAAGCGGTCCAGCGCAGATGAAAAGTTCGCCAGTTATGCTAAGACACAATTAACAGAGCAGATGATTAGGAGTTCTCTGCCATCCAGATGGAGATACAGCCCTGACCAAAAAAATAAAAAATACAGAACAGTGAAAAAAAAAAGACTGGAGCGAACAAGGGTGAAAAATGCTTGGATGCAGAGAGTGGTTTGTGTTTTGGAACAGGTGAATGGTTTATACTCCAGAATAACCATTACCATTGTGTGTATGGAGACCAGAAGCTTGGCTGGAGTCACACACACACACACACACATACATAACAGCACCAAATGGAAGCCTTACACCCCTTTAATTTCTCCCCTGCCTTTCCATTTCCCTTTTTTCTCATGAAATTCACATACCCCTCTCGTCCCCCTACAGATCCATTAATTTCGCTACGGTCCCAGTCGCCATCCACTCCCAGTCACACCCCGCGCATTGTCTTTTAATTTTTTTTTTTTCACCAGCACTTCTTCAGTAGTGCACTTTGGCAAAACGCAAAGCAAACATGTTGCAAGACAGCAGGGAAATATGACAAATGAGATTTTCCTACTGCAACTTCAGAAAATAATACAACAAATTCGAAGGAGGAGGAGGGGGGGGAAAAAGGCTATGATTATTGTGGATAATATGAAATCAGAGAAACAAATAAATTCCATTTCCAATGATGCTGTTCAATTTATTGAGCTATTTTGTTGTCCATTTAACAACCCACATGTGTCCAATAATGAGCCGCACACATTATGCCTAATTATGTATATTTGGGCTGCGTTCGATGGTCTAACAAAAGCTTTCGAAAGGGACAATTACGTTTGTTGCTTGGTAACATCGTTAAAAATATACCAAATAAGTGCAGATTATAGGGGTGTGGAGGTACACATGTAAAGCATGGATATTGTTGCCAACATGCTCATAATTTGATTCATTAGGAAATGGCAGCATTTTGTTTCTAGAAAGGAGACTGTTTTAAAACGTAATATCGACTTTAACGTTTCCGTGCCTTCGTTGCCAAATATGTTTTGTTGTTGGAGTGTATGATCACACTCTTTTGTCAACGAGGCACAATATAATTTGGTGCATTCTATTCTCAGTTACCCTATTTGCATAATTATGCAAGCAACCACACTTGCTTATAAAAAAACACTTTTCCAGGCTGCACAATCAACCAGGCGGCAGCTACTTTAACGCCGCCGAGTTTTTAATCCGGGTTTCAAAGAAGTCGAGCGGAGGAAATCTCCTTAATCTGGACACCGGATGCATGAAAAAACATCCGGGAATCAACTGTCGCGAACTTCCCCGGGACGACGTGATAGATGAACATGATGGACGAATAGATGGATGCGGTGAGGGAGGGGGAGAGCAACAGCTTCAAACGCGGCTCAGCCAATCAGAATCAAGGACCGGAACTATCCGTTTTATAATCAGCTTTTTATCACAGGAATAATTTACATTTTACAATATATTCAAATAGACAACAGTTACATTAAATTGTAATAATATTTCACAATGTTACTGTATTTTTTAAGAATTTAAAATAGAATAGACTTCTTTCACAAACATACAAAATATTACAGACCCCAAACTTTTGAATGGTAATATGAACAAATTTGAATTTGATTAATTCTTTTTTTGTTTCTTAATTCACATTTCTGGTCTTATTGTAAATGATTAGTTGGGACACATTAGTCTAAAGACAAAAATATAATCACTAATAATTCCACCTCTGAACCGACTTTCCATTTTGGCCTTCTTATTTTTCAATCCCTCTCCTCCGACCACTTATAAGAAACCACTTTTCACCATCCAATCAATTCCCGATGGATCAAATCAAGCCTCGCCCAGCATTTTGTCTCACTGAACATCCTGTTTCACACGAAAAAATGTCAAGGAAGTAAAATGGGTGGCGAAATGCATTTCATGCTCTTTGGGGCAGCGAGTTTGTTTCAAAACTCATAAGGGCACTATCTGAAATTCCCTGCAAGATGTGACTAAGAAAATCAGAATCGCAGATCTTCATGTGTGAACTTATGTGTGAACACAGAGTCCAAAACACTCAAGCATCAACTGGCTCATTATTTTCAATGAGAAATCTGTTGCTATTATCAGCTATCACGCTGCATAATAAGCAATGATACAGAGAATCAAATGTTTGCTGTAGGCCGATATCATGAAAAAGTTTAGTGTAGCTTTTGACACAAAATACACAAAGAAGTGCACGAAACAACTTGCACTGAATTAAAATAAATAAAATTTAACGCTGTTTAATAATAAGATGCATGCAAAAAATTAACAAAACTACAGTTGCCCCAAAAAGTATTTGGACACTTAAGTCACACTTGTATGAAAACATAGCAATAAATTATTAAATACAAGAAAGTAAATATAAGCAAATATGTTATATTATATTATATTATATTATATAAAAGTACAGTTCAAAAGTTTGGGATCAGTATGATTCAGATTTTTCAGTACAAAATCAGTAAATATAAGCAAATATGTTATATTATATTATATTATATTATATTATATTATATAAAAGTACAGTTCAAAAGTTTGGGATCAGTATTTTTCAGATTTTTCAGTACAAAATCAGATTTTTATTCTTTTTGAAAGTATTTTACATATTAAATTGATCAAAAGTGACAGTAAAAACTTTCTATTTCAAATATGTGCTGTTCTTTTGAACTTTGTATTCATGGAAGTCTGTTGTGTTTCACACATTTGCATATTAGCATATATAATAGCAAATCAGCATATTAGAATGATTTCTGAAGGATCATGTGACACTGAAGACTGGAGTAATGATGCTGAAAATATGCTTTTTATCACAGGAATAAATTTTATTTTAAAATATATTAAAATATAAAACAGTTATTTTAAATTGTGACAAAATTTTTCAATATTACTGATTTCACTGTAGATTTTCTAAATGAATTACTTCACTCAAAAATATTAAAAATCTTACAGACCCCAAACACTTTTAGTGTGAATTTATATATATATTATAGAAAAATCACAAAGTATAAAACACCAAACATTTATTTAAAACATTTATTTTAAAGAAAGACACAAGTTCACTTTTCAAACAAAATAGTTCACATATGATTTAAAATCTGTTTCATATGTCAGTGAATCATGTTCATAGTTAATGAGATAAACTAATTGACTTCATTCAGCCACTAAAAAACCACCAGCACACCAGATTAAAAAATTAGAAGAGAAAAGCTCTTGATTTGTGTGCAAACACGACTTTAATAGTTTGCATCCAATGCAATTAATTTATTTTTAAGTGAGACTTAAGTGTCCAAATACTGAAGTCTTAAATGCAACTTTTGACAACTGCATGCATGCAGTAAAAGCTGTCAGAAAAGCCATAAACTGACACTCGGAAGCAGGTAGTGAACTCTGGCTTACCTGGGCGCCTCAGCAATGCAGTCAGGCAGAACTGCAAACAGAAAAAGAGAGAGAAAGAGTAAACACATGTGTTTACATTTCCACCAGAGAGACCGGCCCCTCCAGCACCTGCCTGTGATCCTTCACACACCTCTCGCTTTAATGTCACACTCAGACGGACACAATGATGAAGACTCCTGCTGACTCGGTGATAGACGTTTATGTTGAGGATACAGTTCGTGTGGCATACAAAACATCATAAATAAATCTCCTTCTTGTGCTCTGAAAGTCTAGCTATGGATAGAGCAAAAAAGATG